ATATAATATATTATTAAATATTAATAATATATATAAATATTGCTGTATATAAAAAGATCTTTATTTATTCAGACATAAATTCATATTATTTAGTTACCTAGATAAAAATAAATTTTGGAGAGAATTTCTTGCACGCGTCTTGTATCTTCCACATTTCACCTGATCGCGTTACGATCGCGTTCGCGCACCAACCGATCGATCTTTGAAGCATCGATTAAGCACCGATGATATTATTAGCGTAACAATGTATCGTCGGCAGTTCTCTTTTTCTCTCTCTCTCTCTCTTTCTCTCTTTTGTCTTTCAAATAGCCATAAGCTTTTTATCGATTACACTTGAAATAGCTCGTCCAATTTCCTATTGGCAAAACGCTTTTCCAATCCTCCCGTCGACATTACAGGGATCTAGCGAGCGAGTGAATTTTCCACCTTTCTAAACGTCTCTATTCGATCTCTCGTAGCAAATTTCCGCTGTTTTATACAGAACGATGATGACACAAGGTTGCAGTCGCGTTCTCTTATATATTTGTCCGTTCTGTCTCGATGATTGTCTCTCGTATTAAAATACTCAAGTAAAAAATATATACTCTGAAGATCGTTCTAATAAAAATATCTTCTCATCAAAGTTGTTTTTTTTTTTTTTTTTTTCGATACACGTGTGTATTTTTGTTACTTTTATTTTTACGTTTAGATCCTATAAAACACAAGTGAAGTGACACTATCCTTTTTTTTTTTTTTAAATAATTTTCATATTTAAACGATAAAATTTAAAAAAAAGTCAATTGATTTCAAAAGATTTCGACTTATCGAAGTCTTTTTTTTTCCTTCCCGCGGAGCGGAAGGGAACGGAACAAAATTTTTGTTTTTCACACAGGCTCGAGTTATCGAGGTTTTTTGTACTGTACAAAAAAAACTCCATAAAAAATTGCAAACCTTACAATCACGAAGTTTTTATTTTTTTAACAAAAAACGTCTCAATGAGAAATATCGCGCGAGAGATATTTCCGATGTGACGCGTCTGTGTGGGTTAAATAACAATTTCGGTTTGTTAAACCACGCCGTTATATAATACAGACGTATGAGTCATTCGCGCGAACGGATAGGACAATTCTTCCAGCTTTATCAAGCCGTCGCACACATCGTCTTGTTCGCATTAAATCGCGATATAATCCACGCAAGATATCGCGAGTTCCTTCTTGTGTATCGCACAACCTGCTTTTTTTTTTTATTGCCTACACAATGTTTCGATTGTGCGAAACAACGTCGTCGTCCGAAACAAAGCTTTCTATATTTTTTTGTCTACAAAAAAACGCCTTCTCTTGCAAACAAAAACGTGTGCGCTTGCTCGCTTATCTGTGATTGTTAAAAATCGACAGAAGAAAAAGAAAGAAGTCTGTCCAAGTGGTCCAACGTCGGGTTCTGTGGGTTTTGTTGCGTAACAACGTTCAAGTAACAGATACCAGAAACAAGAAAGGCGCAAGCCTACTTTTTTTTTTTTTTTTAAAGAAAAAAATCACGTATTCTTTCTAACAGAGAAACTAAAACCGTTCGAGCAGCGTCGTCGATCGATTCGGCAAGTAAATCGATGTTGAAGACTTGCACTCGGCGCGTATCTGCGCGATCTACGAACAATCGTCGCGCGACGTGATCAAAGCGGAAAATCTCCGACGAAGAAGCATCAGCATCAGCAGCAGCGGTGCGCGTCTCCGTTGCTTACCCACAAGTGAAACTGCCACAATCGAGCACAAAGAGAGATCATCGTCGTCATGAACGATCGGGATAGTCCGTTTGTGCGCACGCAGGCTAGCAGAAGCCTGATTCGGCCGCAGGCGAGCGCGCGTAAGTTTATGGCGCCGTCTCCCGCGGAGAGGGCGAGCCATCAGCTGGTGAACCGACACATCGCTAATGAGTCGGAAACCACGACGAGCCCGACGAGCATGCAGAAGCGCCTGTCGGCGCCGCATGCGCCCCTGGAGAGCCTGAAGCAGTGGGAACTGGTTGAGGACGGCAAGGGTCTGCAGGTGGTTGAGAAGCGAGCGGTTGCGCCGAACCCGATCAGACCCAGAGACGCCGCGCCAGTTCCGGCAAGTCCGTTGCCACACGGTCGAGGAGCTGTCTTTGCTTCCGGAAGAAAGAATCCTAATATCGTAATGGACGCGAATCTGGAGGAAAAACTTCGGGTCTTCAACGAGTCGAAGATCATCCAACCGATCGGACTTCCGCTCAATCAGCGGGAATCGTCCGCTGCTTCATCGACCGAGTCGAAAGCGTCGCTTAGTCTCGATTTGATTCTGAAACAACAGCGAGCGAACTCGTCGACGGTCGAGAGCATCGACATGCTCCAGCGATTGGAGCAGCAAGTCAAGGCGATCGAGATGGGCACGATCGCCGCTAGGACGACGCGCCAGTTGGAAAACAGTTCGGACTTCGGACCGGAAGTGCAACTCAGATACCGGGAGCACGAGGATCTGCTGCGGAACGTGACCGACGACGAAGCCGACGGGTAAAAAAATTAACAAACAACATTTTTATCATCTGTTTTTTTAACATCGATCATCCATCCGCACGCTTTTATCGACATCGTCTTCGTTGACGTCTCTCTTCCATCATCGAACACGTTTTTGTAAAAAACAGACGTTAGATTTTTTTTTTTTTTTTTCGTTGATTGATACTCGTTGCGGCATCTTCAGACGCATTTGAGAAATTTGATCGTACAATTGCGAGATTTATTTTGATTTGATTTTTTTCTGCGAGAAACGATGTAAATTTATTTACGGCAGCCGAGATTTCGTGAAAAACAAAAATCAAAAAATTCGTTCGATCTATTTTACATTTCTCGGAATTTAATATCGTCCGCCCACGCGTCTCGTGGGCTCAATCCTTCCACGCGTGTTAATCGAGGAAGTTGGAGTCGCGTCGCATTTCGATCGGTCAATATCCGCGAGTATATACAGGGTGTCCCAGAATTGTCGTACAATCTCTCTCGTAGGCAGGTAGAAGGAATAAAACTGAGTCGAAAAGTCCTGAACCATTTTTTTTCTATTATTTATAATAAAGGAGTAAATTATTGAGTAAATCAGGCCAATCAGCGCCGACCTTTAGCCAGACGCACGTCAGTGAGCCGCGCGCCTGGTGTGTGTCAAAAATGGTTCAGGACTTTTCGACTCACAAGTCGTCAGTTTTACTCCTTCTACCTGCCTACGAGAGATTGTACGGCAATTCTGGGACACCCTGTATACAGACGCGCGCGACACATACGACGGACACGTGTGATTCTCGTTAAGCACATTTGCGAAGAGCGATAATTGAGGAAATCGTCGTCCAATTCTCCGCCTAATCCACCTCGTCGTCGTCGTCGTCGTCGCGCACGGGTTTCACCTACACTCTCGGATCCGCACAATTCACCGTTCGTTCGCACCCACGTGTGTGTCTCTTTTTTTTTTCTTTTTTTCCTCCGATATACAATTGGCGCGTTCATTGGTTTTTTACGCAATGTCGCAACCGTGTCGCGCGATTCATTCCGTGATTTCCGTCGGTCGTCGCCATTCATTATACACACGCCCAACCAGGCGGAGAGATCAGGGGAGCAGAGCGTGTGACAGATGTTTCGACGGATAAAATATACCGGGTGTCGCTCCCGAAAGCGCGCAAATTTACAAGTTTGTTTTTTTTCTCTCTCTCTCTCTTTTTCTTTAACAACGCGCCGATCTTTTTTATTTTCGACGATACGAACAGAAAGCGGTGTGTGACGGTCGAATTTGCGCGAAATTATTGAGAGAACGATGATGATTTTGTTTCGTATCTTAGAATACGCTTTTCTCTCTCTCTTTGAGACTCTCCGATAACAAAAATTAATTTATCGGTTTATTTCGAACGGATTTATCTTAACGGTGTTTCAATTTTTTTAATTTTAGATAGCGAGAAATTTTTCAATTTTCAAGTTTATCAGAGAAAAGATTTTACACGTGCGTTCGTACTTTTTCTTTCTCTGTATCTCTGCGTTCTCTCTGCTTCCCGGCGTTTCTTCGTCTCGTCGAAAAGAATCGTTGCCCGTTTTTTTTTTTATTATTAAAATCAAGACAAATATACGTTATCGCTTGCAACGACTGTACAAATAGTAATAATAGTCGTCGTTGCATATTGACGTGTGATCGATACATTAATTACGATGTTATAATCGCGCTATGGCATCGAAATACGAAATAAAAAAATGAAGAGAACTGTCGTAAAAAAAAAAAAAAAAAAA